GATTCTACAGAGTTCATTCGATACAGAAGATTAACAGACTTACAAAGAAATAAAAGATTGGCACTAACATACATATATATTCCTAAATATTAATGAAGAAAACAGACAATGAAAAGTTATTTAACAGTTATGAGTATTAATACCAAGAGAGACTACTTATAACTATATAACACATGGAGTAAAATTATTAATGGATGGTATTATGAAGAGAACTATTACATTATTACCTATACATAGAATGAGAAGTATCAGAGGAAGATAAAATATGAAGTCGATAAAATAAGGATCATGGTTACTTAATACCACAAAGATTGAGTTCAATAGTATTTCATAGATTAACTATAATGAGTAATTTGTTTATATAGTTGAAGTAAAACAAACAATGGTAATAAAAGGAAGAAAACTGAGGAAGGATAATTTATATTGATTAATATTAAGTAATAGTATACATTAAGAAGGCCTTGGATATAAGAGTTCAGAGATCCAAGAGGAATTGAATTGAATGGAAAGAGTATAGTACACAATTATATTTGACCTAAGTCTATAAAGGTATGGACTAGGGAGAATAGGTTTCTGGATATGATGGTATCCAATGAATAAGTTGTTATAAGTGATTTTATGATTTCCCTAAGTTTGTTAGACACGGACTAGGAATAAGAGTTTCTGGGCAGTATGATCCCAAGTTTATTTTTGTTTATTTTATTTTAGTCAGTTGAAGTGTACTAAGGAATATGGATTGGTCAGAACATTAGGACAATCCTGCTTTTAAGATGTATTACATTAATAAGTCATCACAATGCTAATGAAGAGAGTGATGCTAATGAATTTAAATTGTTCTTTCCAAGTTCTTTTAAAGTAAACTATGTTTCTATTGAATTTAAAGTTTGTTACTACAAGGTGGAATTTTAGTGAAAATTAGAATTATGTAAACAAAAACAAATCTATGATAGAAAGATTTCTGGGTGAAGAATTTCTAGGACAATAAGTATTGTCAACACCATGAACATTATTTGAAGAATTATTATAGAACTTCATGGTTGATAACACATCCTTTGAATGAGACTTATAAGTAGTGTTGATATATTTTAGGTAGTTAGAGCCTACTGAATATACAAATTAAATACAATGATTGTAAAGTACTGATACAATCATCACTAGGTGGTATTAATGGTATAGGAATGTAATTCATGAATACAAATGATAAAGATTTTAAGGTTGCTAGAAACCATATGATTCATGGAAATATAATTGGACAGGATATTATAGTAATACATGTATTAATACTTAAGTAATATCAGGTATTGAGAATGAAAATACTATGCTATATGTGTCTGTAGGAATATGATAGTGATACACAGTTATTATCTAGAAAGTTATCATCTTAATTTTGTTATCTACAAAGATATGACTGTACCTGAGCAGGTAGATCTTTCTGATTGCTTTATTGATTATTGGATCAACATTTGTAAATATTTTATTTTATTCATTTATTATTGTTATATGTATATATTATGTTCAAGTAGTTATGATGTAACATGGATATGGATATCAATACATAGCTGAAACAGAGGAGTTTTGAAGTAAAGTAAGCGGTATGAGGGATAGAAACTCGACCTTCTAAGAACTCTCATATAATAGAAAATTGTGACTACATCTTGTTCTATGCTCAATGAATGTGATACAAGTGATGTATGAATGGACAGGTTATATACATTGTGTTATGGTTTTAAAACAAACCATAAACAGAGGGAATGTAGAATATTGCATATTCTATGTTTCTATTGATTATATATATGGATGTGTGGATTGACATAAGTAACAGATGGTATCAATAAGTCACAAGGCTTTCTTTGTCCGAGAGCTCTGGAATGTGGATTCGGGGGTTTTTCCTTATATGGCTAGAGTTAAATGCTGACGTTAGTATGAGCACTTCTATATAGTAACAGAGGGACACGAGGTCTCTCAGTCTCACTCTTGGCTTGGCTCTTGTACAACGATGTAACTCTCCCATCAGAAGTACAGCAATTACCATCTGCTGTTGAATGTCCATTATCCTGTAACATCATTTGTTGTTTTATGTATCCGTAACTAAGAATAAACCTGAAGAAACCGTAAGTCAGATTGCGTATTACTACTTTTCAATAATATAGACATATATTATTGTGGCGAGCATTTGGCCCAAGAATATATATACAAAAGACGTATATATATCAATCAACTGAAGACAAGAAGAAATTAAGAAAGAGTCTACATTAACATCCATTCATCTAGTTTTTTACAACTCCCCAAAGATATGCTGCAAGCCAACATTTGCCTTCTACCTAAACCCAACAGACCCAGGCCACTATCGGCCAATATCCCTATTGAACGTAGACATCAAACTGTTCACGAAAATACTCTCCAATAGGCTGCTACCACATATCACATCACTAATCCACCCGGACCAGGTGGGCTTCATCCCCACTCGCCAAGCTAGCGACAACACCAGGAGGATGCTAGACCTGATCTGGGTGGCTACCCAGCGCTCCATTCCAACGCTACTCCTATCCCTGGACGGCGAAAAGGCGTTTGATAGGTTACTATGGCCATTTCTCTTTGCCACTCTGGAGAAACTCAGATTCCCCAAACCATTTCAAGACGCCCTGCGAATGATTTACTCTAATCCTACTGCCAACCTACTCATACCAAACACGAACCCCCCCTCGTTCGCCATCTACAATGGCACGAGGCAGGGCTGTCCCCTGTCCCCCATCCTGTTCGCCCTCTCACTTGAACCGCTACTGCATCTTATCCGCACCACTCCCCAGATCACAGGCATCAAAATCCGCACACAAACATACAAGGCTGCGGCATACGCTGATGACCTGATGCTGTCACTCACAGATCCGCAGAACGCACTCCCACCTCTCCTCAAACTCATAGACGACTACTCAGAGGTATCGGGATACAAATTAAACTTCGATAAAACTGAAGCACTCATGCTGACCATACCGGAGAATCAAAGACAAACGCTACGGACCACATATGCCTTCAATTATAAGGCCTCACACATCTCGTATCTAGGGATCAACCTACCAGCGGAACTACAGCGCACATACACACTTAACTACTCACCGCTGATCCAGAAAATCATAGAAGACCTGCAGAGATGGAGGGACTTGTCTTTGTCGTGGCTGGGACGCCTAGCCTCGGTGAAGATGAACCTCCTACCAAGACTGCTCTATCTTTTTCAAACCCTCCCCATCCCCATACCCACCTCGGACTTCAAATACCTACAGTCACATATCGACAAATTCATCTGGTCGAATAAACGACCGAGAGTGAAAAGGGCGACCATGTACATCCCTAACAGGACGGGAGGCCTGGGCCTTCCCCACTTACAACACTATTACCATGCGGCGCAAGCCACACAGATACAACATCTACACGCCCCACCGGGAGCGAAGCGCTGGGTGGACCTAGAACACGACATATTTGGCTTCGACCTCCCCTCATTGTACATATGGGTCCCACGGACCTCCCGGCCCCTGCCACCGCCACTACCCCCGACACTAGCTAATTCTATCAGCACCTGGGATAAGCTTACCCAAAAATTCCCTATCATCAACAACCCATCACCACTGACACCCATACTGCGCAATAAAGCATTTAGCCCAGGAATGAACCCAAAAGATTTTGCTCATTACGAACACAACGACCTTTATAGAATATGCCACTTCTTTGAGGGAGGAAAACTAATGCAATACAAAGACCTTCCCCAACAACACTCACCATACAACACACATGACTTTTTCAGATACATACAACTAAAGAGCTTTTTGGAACGCCCTGAAAATAGGATAGCAGCTACCAACAGATGCACAACATTTGAACGAGCATGCATACATAACCCAGCCCGCAAGGGCCAGATCACTGATAATTATAGCCTGCTCATCTCTACTCATGCCCCAGGAGCGATGGCATATGTGGCGGCTTGGGAGAGGGATCTGGGGCCACCGGGAGACCCGACTGACTGGCAGGACATATGGGAGGCCACAGCATCTATCTCTATATGTGTCAACCACAAAGAGCAGGCCTATAAAACTCTACTACAATGGTATTTAACCCCCGCAAGACTATACCGAATGGGTAGGACCGAATCGGACCTCTGCTGGAAGCGGTGTGGGCAAAGGGGAACATACATACACCAATGGTGGCAATGCCCTAAACTAGCACCGCTTTGGGCGGAGGTGGCCTGCCTGGTATCCAGCTTACTCCACGCAGATATACCCCTAGACCCGTGGATCTGGCTTCTATCCAAACCCTGGGAACCTTTAACCAGAGCCCAAAACAAATTAACAAACAGAATAGCTCTGGCTACAAGGAGGGCGATAGCGGAACTCTGGGGCTCCCCGGAGGTCCCCATTTTAGCCACAATCATCCGCAAAACCAGGGAAGCCATTGAAATGGACAGAATCTCAGCCCTAGTCCATGAAACGTCAGGCCACTTTCATAAAATTTGGGACCCTTGGCTGAGTGAGCCGGCGCTAAACCCGCCGAACCTGGCTATGCCGCAGGCCCAATAAATGGCCAATAGAGGCATAACGGGGAGGGGAGCTCAGAGGGGGAAACCCATACGCATGACAAACAGGGGAGTACCCATAGGGGACCATAACCGCAACTCAAGGGGGCCAACCCACAACAGACTCCAGCAGTCTCCCAAAACCATAGCGCAGAAACACTAAACCTTCCTGCGAGCATAACACCCAACCACTGAGACCAAAAGTTGTTTATGTTTTTACTTGATTGTGTATATTTGTGTAGTTTTGTAGTTTGGTATTTTTGTACCATTGTGCGACCTATCAACACCCAACTAATGCAACAGCAAAGCTGGAAACTAGCTAGACAAATTGTCTACTCACATAACAATGTCAAACATGTTATATCATAAGACAAATGTTTACACCATGGTTGCAAAATGCTTCTGAACAGGTGAAAATAAATAAATAAAGAATGTTTAAAAAAATTAAGAAACTGGAGGGTGGTTATCAAATTTTGCATGAGTGCAAGTCTGTCAGTGTATCTGTATGTCTGTGTGTGTGAGAGTCTGTCAGTGTATCTGTATGTCTGTGTGTGTGAGAGTCTGTCAGTGTATCTGTATGTCTGTGTGTGTGAGAGTCTGTCAGTGTCTGTGTGGTTCAGTGTGTCTGTATGTGTGTATGTCTGTCAGTGTTGCAGTATGTCTGTGTGTGAGTCTGTCAGTGTCTGTGTGGTTCAGCATGTCTGTCTGTCTGTGTGCCAGAATGTCTGTCTGTGTGCCAGTATGTCTGTGTGTGAGTCTGTCAGTGTCTGTGTGCCAGAATGTCTGTCTGTGTGCCAGTATGTCTGTGAGTCCGTCAGTGTCTGTGTGTTTCAGTATGGCTGTCTGTGAGTTTCAAAATGTCTGTATGTGTGTATATCTGTCAGTGTCTGTGTCTATGTGTGTTTCAGTCTGTCTGTGTGTGTGTGCCAGAATGTGTGTATGTCTGTCAGTGTGTCAGTATGTCTATGTGTGAGTCTGTCAGTGTGGTTCTGTATGTCTGTGTTTGTCAATATGTCTGTCAATGTCTGTCTGTATGTGTGTTTCAGTATGTCCGTCTCTCTGTGTGTATATGTGCCAGTATGTCTGTCAGTGTATCTGTATGTCTGTGTGTGTTAGAGTCCATCAGTGTCTGTGTGGTTCAGTATGTCTTTGTGTATGTGTGTTTCAGTATGGTTGTCTGTGTGTGAGTCTGTGTCAGTACGTCTGTCAGAATGTGTATCTGTATGTTGTCCATTTGTATTTGTGTGTGTATCTGTATATCTGCATGTGTGTCAGGTTGTGTGTCTGTCTGTGTGTCAGTGTGTGTGTCGGTGTAAATATAAGTAGTCAGTATGTGTACCTTTGTATCTGCATGTATGTCAGTGTTTGCATCTGTGTGTGTGTCTATGTGTGTGTCAGTGTATCTATATGTAGTCTGTGTGTATCTATATGTGGTCAGTGTGTATCTGCATGTGTGTCAGTGTGTATCTGCATGTGTGTCATGACGTAGTCAGGGGGCCCAAGTAAATGCTCGCCCAGGGTCCAATCTAAATTAAAGACGGCCCTGACCGTACGGTCTCAAAGGCAACGTAACCAATATGGCGAATTTCAATGTGAAAAAACTGAAATGCCAGCCTTATATTTGACTCTCTACCTTTTGAAAACACCATAAAACCTGTACGTGAGGGGTACTGTTATCTTCGGGAGACTTCGCTGAACACAAATATTAGGGTTTCAAAACCGTAAAACGTATCACAACAATTATATTGTCCGTGTAAGTACCATTTGGATGTGAAAAATGCAAAAAATGTAACTTTCACTGACAATATCGTCGTTGTAATGCATGTTACTGTTTTGAAACACTAATATTTGTGTTCAGCGAAGTCTTCCGAGTAAAACAGTACCCCCCATGTACAGGTTTTTTTTTTGTAAATATCTTTTTATTTAACCTTTTGTTTTTGTTGATTTTGCAACATGTCAAAGAGAAACGTGGACTCGCAGGTCCCTCTGGTCATTCACAGAAGCTTATACATCGGAAGGCATGTGATGACATACGTGTCTGGGCGACTCGCAGGTCGCTTTCTTGAGTAAATAGCATGTGTATTGTGGACTCGCAGGTCCGGTGTTACATGGTGGTGCTTAGTACTCTGTTATATTTGATATGTACCATTTCTACGTTGGGTGGTTTTGCATGCCCCACCGTTGTTGTGTTTTGTTTGTCTATTCCCCATGCCTACCCTGTAGCCTCTAGGCAGTAGTGAGACATGTGGCCATCTGGTGTGTGGGGTCCCTTCAGGACGCGCAGCCCCCCAGTGACCTTGTGTCCAGGGTCCTACCTGGCAATATTGTGGGGTGTTGGCCCCTTGCCTTAGTATGATTTGGTTCTGCCCAGCGGTATAGGTGGTGTTGATGGGAATAACCTAAGGGGCATCCTGCGACTCCCTCCAAACTAATGAGCTTTATAGCTCACAAAACAGGCGCTCTTCCACCCCCTTTACTCGCGAGGCCGCCCCGGGCCCCGCAAGTGGTCGCACCCTAGCGGGTGTCGTAGCCCTCCCCGCATGCCCCCGCGCCGCCCCCCGGGTCCCCCGAACCCGCGCTCCACCCGTTCCGACAGGGGGCGGGGATGAGGTATCGCGTTTTGGGCCAGGTGTGCGTCCTGTTAGTCTCCCAGCGTCTCCTCCTGGGGATTATCGGTTCCTTCCCCCATGGTCAATTGCATAGTCTGAAATGCCTCTGTACCCACCCGTGCCAACCAGGGTGTCCATGTGTCTAAGTATGTCTGCGTTCGGTCTTGGGCTGAATACCAGATCTCCTATGTGACTCGTAACTCCTCCATTCTAGTAAACCACAGGGAGAGTGTTGGGGTTGTGTCTTTTTTCCAGTACAAAAGGTATGAGGTGTTTTGCGACGTTAAGGATTCGGATGGTCAGGGAGCGTTTGTAGCGTGATGTGGGGGTTGTCGTGTGGTGTAGGAGGTACGGGGCGGGCCGGAAGGGTGGGACATTGTCCGTGAACATGGCCACCATGGCAGCTATTTGCTCCCAGAACGGTACTATGAGTGGGCATTCCCACCATATGTGAAGAAAGGATCCCACCCCTCTCTTGCACCTCCAGCAGAGGCCATCCGCGTCCAAGTGCATTCTCTGTAAGCATTCTGGGGTCAGGTACCATTGTGTGAGAACCTTGTAGGCAGTTTCCTGGGTTTTGCTAGCAATTGCGCAATGGTGCACTAGATCGCAAATCTTGTGCCACTGGGTCTCTGTAAATGTTTCCCCCACGGCAGTCTCCCATTTGGACATGAAGGGGGGTGGGGGGTGTCCCTGTTGTCGTTGTAGCATGGAGTAGAGGTAGGAAATGCTATGGGGCATGGGCTCCGGGTCCTGGCACAGCTGTTCGAATGGCGTAAGGTCCCTATATACGTCGGGATGTTGTGGTATAGCAGTGATGTAGTTCTTAATTTGGGTGTATCTAAATTTCGTCATGAAGGGCTGGGTGGGTGTGCCCATGAGCGACTGTAGGGACACTATTTTCCCATTGGTGGTCATGTCTCGGAGTCTGGGTATGGTTTGAGGGAGGACGCAGCGGAGGCTCCCCGGTCTTACCCCCGGTTCAAACTCCGGATTGTACGCCAGAGGTAGTAGCGGGGATGGGAAGGAGGAGAGGCGTAGTTTCCTCGCCTGTGAGTGCCATACGGTTAGGGTGGCGGTGATGAAGGGCTGTTGGTGGACTAGCCGCCTGCCAATCAGTGGGTGCAGCCACAGGAGGGCTGAAAGGGGCCTGCCTGCGTGGTGTGTTTCGATAGCCTTCCAGGGTTTGCTAATCCCCTCTTTTGCCCATTCCATGGCCCGTTGCATGTGACATGCTTGGTAATACAGTTTGAAATCAGGAACGGCCAGGCCTCCTGCTGTTTTGGGGAGTGTGAGTTGTGTGTACTTGAGTCTTGGTTTAGTAACCTTCCAGATAAATTTAATGAGGAGGGTGCGGAGTGCGGAGAAGAAGGTGGTAGGGAGTTGGAGTGGTAGTGTCTGGAATAGGTAAACCATGTACAGGTTTTATGGTGTCTTGGAGAGTTACAGGGTTAAATATAGTGCTAGCAAATTAAATTCCTTGGACTTTTGGCCTGGGTTGTCACGTTGGTCCTGCTAATTGTAATTAATAAAATTACCTAATTATGTAAAATTATTACATAAATATATACATAGAATTATATATATATGTGTATATAAATATATATATATAAATTTTTTTAAATTATTTTTATTTGTATATAGGTATATTATATATTATATATATTTTTAATCAATATCATTGTACGTGTATATTAATATTAAAATACACGTTGACAGTGTATATGTGTATATATATATATATATACACTTAGATCATATATACCTCACGATCACATAGTCCAGGGGGGCCGAAGAGGACGGAGGGGGACTCCCTGGGCTCTCAGGTGAGTGCCCATACCGCGATCGCCGGCGTGGGATTGCGGGCGACCGGGTAAGTATAAAGGACGGTTTGGGCGTTCTATGCCACCCTCTGGCGTTTAGAGACGATTCCTTAAGGACGGCATGGAACGCCCGCCATCCTTAAGGGGTTAAAACTACAGCTTCTTTGATGCTTTTTAATTCTTAAAGCATTCTAAAGCCATGCAAAGCATTATTGGAGTTATAGTTCAACAACATCTGGGGATTTACCTTTTGGGCACCTCTGTTTTAAGTCATGAGCAGGCTCAGCCAATCCTTATGCGTCCATAATTTTCAACAAGATGACCTTTTGTCTGCTGTGAAGTCTTCTAGTCAGAGATCTTTTTTTCCAAATGTTTGCAAAGAAAAGCAGCTGTGTGCAGGCACAGGGTCAGGGACCTCCTTGCACTATAGCCTGTATAAAAAGCATACGTTCTTATAGTGTCCATTCTAAAGCACATCCCTCCATGGCCCATTTATAGAATTTGTCATCAGTTACATTTATCTATCTACCCATTGTCTAGTGCTGGATAATAAATTATTAATAATAACTTTCATTTTTTTTTTTCTTGCAAAACAAAAAACAGCCTTGCCCACAATAAAAGCTTGAAATTGTTTTTTATTTTCATACCAAACCGCAGTTAAATGCACCAATCTTATACGTCCTATTAGTCTTTGAAGTGTTGATCAGATTGTTAGGTGTTTAAACATTCAAAGCATCGTCTCATCGTGGGGTCAAGTTCAATTTCAATCAGCCCTACATTTTTAATAATTTAGCTCGCTCCTGCAGGTTGATTAGATTCATTGGATAAGACAGCTGGAGTATATCCTGTGGCAGCAAAGGATTTGTTTGGAGAAGCACTCAGCAAGATTGAAGAAATGATGGCAGGGGGCGAAAGAGCATACTTACCCTAGGGGTAATAATATGTGGTTAGCTGTGAACAAATCAAATAAAGGGCTAAGCAGGCGATGTATGGGGGAGTTTATTCAATGTCATCTTGTAAAACTGTGTGATGAGACATTTAGCGAGACAACTGTGTTTATTGTCATTTTCAAAGATCTGTCAATTTGTGTGTCTTGTCAACTGAGATGTTGCAGACACCATCACTAAAAATGCTGGTGCTGTAAGCTTATTCCAGGCTCCAATACACATATAATATATGATATGTATGGTATTATACTATAAACCTATACACATGGTTGTTATGTTTTAAAGGCAACGCAAAATTCAGCAAAAAAATAAATGCTTTTAATTCAGGAGAAATTCACAACATTTCCTATGATACAAATTAAAGAAACTAAACTGGTTTTGTCCTTAAAGTGTCAACATACAGCACACTGAAGGACCTCCCAATGAATTTATTGTAGAATGTTGTGATATTTTGGTGGGTTTGCTATTAAATGTCTAAGTGTGTTCTCACAGTGAGTGAAATAGCAAACAGAAGTGCTGGCTCTTCTTTTAAAATGGCTTATTGATTTGTGGTTTACAGCTGTATTTTGCGATTTAAGAGCCACATTTCTGCATGTGATTTATAAGGTATTTTGTGCTGGGTAATGGTAACACATGCCGTTATTATGATGGAGACAGGATGCTGTACCTGTTTGAGGGTTTGGGAAGCACTAGAATCCGGTAATGTCCAGTAGTGTCACTGACTGAGAGGGAACCTGTCTGATATCTTGGTTCTTGATTCACCGTGTATGTAGAGTTAGTTTGATACTTGGATTGTATGTCTCAAGTAAGCTAAAACTTTTTTGACACCAACTCACTGTTAAACGTACACTCTAAGCCTAAGCTTGCTGTAGTGGTTATAGTGTTAAGATTGCTCTGGAGTTCTTCCAGTGTAATTTGTCAAGTCGTTTAAAAACAGTTTAAAAACGTATGTAGAATGTGGAAAAAATGGGATTCAGCTGCAGACCTAAAATATAATACAAACAAAATAACATAGTGTAGTATCCTTTAAACATTAAGTGTCACGCCAATATAATACACTCACAGGATGTCAGGATAATATGAACCTGTAGGGTGCCTCCCCTGATAGCAATGGGGAGCTCAGAGAGATCCTCCTTTTTTCCTCCTTGTGGCGTTATTTCAACATATATATGGAGCAGGAATCAGGAAGGTAGTAAAAAAACTGTTTTATTTGCCAATAAATTAAAAAGGTATAAAATACCAATATAAGTCCTACGCATTTCATTCCAATATAGGAACTTCCTCAGGGCTTAGTAAAAATATATATTCAGATAAAATCACAAAGATACAGAATGCAGTATAACAATGTATCCACCTAAAATACCACCCCCACCTTAAGTAGGTGTACTCTCTGGCTGTTGATTGGTGGCTCAGTGGGTGTTTTTTTTCCAATACCACTGATGATTCGCTGCTGTAGAATTCTCAATCAGCTGGTCGTTATTTTCTAGTTTTGTTTTTCACGTGTTAATGTTCCAGGTTCGTGATATCATCCTTCGCGCATGTTTGTACATGCATTCCACCTGCGTCTAAGACGTGTGTGTTCCACTCGAGGTTTGTTGCGTCTGTGAGCGTTCCCATTTGAATCTCAAGGTTCATAAAAAACTGTCATACACTCATGTACATTGGCATTTTGAGAAGAAAAAATAAATCTTGTCAACATACATCATGTACATTGGGATATAGTAAATATAATAAAGTATGTTTATCATGCATCAATATTATATATCCAATATTACACTGTCTATAATATATTAACAAATACTCATATATTTAGTTATTTTATACTAAGGATACTCATTTTGTACAAATCTAATTTAAAACAACATATTACTAAATGAAAATCTTTAATTACAACATCCATATATACATACAAATATTTCAAAGCTTGACTTCATGCCTGTTTGCAAATGCTCATATATCTTATTTATAATAGAGAATAAAAAGGGAAAAATGGAAAAAATATATAAAAGAGTTAACCAAATAAAAATTGTTCTTCATTTTTTCTATTTTTTTTTTTGTTTACTCATTTTTTAAATTTTTTTCCCCTTTTTATTCTCTAAAAAAACAAAAACAAACTAAGAGTCAGCACCTGATGCTCCATTATCCAGATGATCCTGTACATTTTTGAAAGGATCTGAAATATTCAAGATCTAAATCTGTCTTGTTTTCCTCCTGTTTTATAATATGTGCTGCAAACAGACCCAACGTAGCGTTTCACATTGTCCATCAAATATCACCTTTTCTTGGGAATTGTGAATATTAGCATTTTGGCTTAACCCCTTCAACAATCAAGATACCCAAATATAAAATATAAAGCTACTATTTGTTATTTCTCTCTTGGGTGTTTCCTACTAATGACCAAAGCTCTTGGTTATTCATCTTACAAGGGAAAAATCAATTCCTGTCTGACGCTAATTGATTAAACTAAGTTTGTCACAATATTATGTTCTAGCCAGTCGGTAAGAGAGAATTATTTGATAGTTTTATGTTCTGATGTTTAAATAGATTGCAGTGTCTAAATGCCCTTTCTTGTGTAAATCATAGATGTTTGCACAAATTCAATTCTTCAATTTTTGTAAAGAACACTCTACGCTCCAAAACCACTTAATCATTGAGACTGTCCCTTTTCACGGACAATTAAAAGATTTGTAATTTCAGAGAAACGTCATCATTTACATGTTACATGTTTTTAGTAGCAGTGTTACATGCCTTTTGTAGCAGTCAGACTGAAAACTGAAGGTCTTTCGATTTGGCGTTTATTGGGTTCATTGCACTACACCAGTATCTAACTGGTGGAGTGCAGCATTTGCCATGCTGTAGGTCTCAAAGTTTCTTTAAATTGGACAAATATGATCACAAGTGATGATCCTGCAGAGCAGTGTTTCCCAACTGGTGTTCCAAATTAGGGTTCCGCTGCGATTTGCCCATCGTGTGGCCCAAGCATTTAGGGCCACCCGATGGGCACCGCTAAACATTGGTCTGGTGAGGCGCCACGGCCATTTAGGACCGCGACCATGTCCCTGTAGTATTGGATGCTGGAAGAAAGTGACAGCAGCACGGCCGGAGGGAGAGAGAGATCAGTGGGGACTGAGCAGCTGTCTACATGGCATACCTGCCTCAGCCAGCAGCACTAAAGGAAGTCACTCTCCTGCAGGAAAAAGGTAAGTAAACAGGAGGGTGATTGTGTCACGGGTGGCGGTACGGAAACCGGGACCCCTGAGTGCCTGATGAGAAGTGGAGTCTTCAGCGTGGAAGTGGATTATCAGGGCCTGGTGCAGGGTAACCATGCGCCCCCTGGTGTTGAGCACCAGCGTTTACACGGCCACATACCAGAACCCTGATGCAGCTACAGCGGATCCCAGGAATTAGGAACTTGATATGCAGACCTCCCAGGAACTGGATAGGGGGCTCTGCAGCAGACATGTATCCAGTACAGAAACAAGGCAAGGCTAGAACAGGCACCAAACATGAAAACAAGACAGAACTAGTAGTACCCAGAACCAGATAAGGATAGGAAGCTAAACCCAGAACATGTACACAATGCATAAGGGAACGTTAACTAAACAAGGGCAGGACAGGACTGTACATGGACTGGGTTAACAAAATAAAACAAAACAAGATATAATAGGCAAAACAAGAGGAGACATAACTAAGCACTATATATGAAAAGTATGGGGATTTAGTTACATTATATGATCATACATTGCATAAGCCTGCCACAACGCCAATGTTCCCCATATTCGGCAGGTCCTACACTGCCTAATGTTCGCTAAAAGAACCATACTAAACCACAATATAGCACTTACCTGCAAGAAAGGGCAGAGACTTGAAACACTGCTGCAGGCCCAGACTGAAACAAAAGGAAAATGGAAAACAAACGGGTGTGGCAACATAAAACAAACATTTAAAGGAAACCTGGACACTGGGAATTCCAGGGACGGATTACAGGAATGAACCCAGAAAAACCCAGCATAAAGAATACCAGACATAGAATAGAAAACCAAAAAAACAAGAAAAACTAAACAAGAATTGTAAAAAGTGTACTGGATACCAGAAACCAATGCCAGATATCTCTGCAGAACATGGCATGATTTGACAGATTGTAAATATAAATGTATGTGTGTGTATCTGTGTCATGGAGTGTGCGTATCTGCCAGTGTGTGTATCTGTATGTCAATGTGTAACTGCCACTGTGTGCCTCTGTGTGTCAAGGTGTGTATATGTGTCACTGTGTGTGTATCTGTGTGCCAATGTGAGTGTCTGTGTGTATGTCAGTGTGTGTATCTATGTGTCTGTGTGTATGTCAGTGTGTGTGTGTGTGCATGTGACAATGTGTGTATCTGTGTCAGTGTGTGTGTATGTGTCGGTGTGTTTGTTTGTTAATGTGTATGTATATGTGTAAGTATGTATGTGGCAGTACATGTACAGACATCCCAGAAATCAAACACCAACACAGCACACACTCCTGCAAACACAAACATGACATACAAAGACACCTGAACTCTAACTCCAAAGTTATATACAAACACTCAAACACCAATACTACACACAAACGTACATCCGCATTTAAAGTCCAACATTACATCCAAACACACCTCTGCGCGCAAATGCAAACATTACGTACAAACACATCCCTGTAGTAAAATGCTAAAATTTTATACAAACATCAACACTACACACAAAAGCACACCTGCTCCTAAGTACAACAATCTGTTTACTATCTGTAGAAAGTAGTGTATATATAGCAAAAAAAGTAAATTTGCCAAAAAAGAAAATATTATGCTCTGCTAATTGAAAGGTTTATGCAACTTATTTTTTGGGGGGCGTGAGGAGGGGTGTTCCACGATGTTGATACACTATGTCATAGGGTTCCCAGGAAAAATTAAATGGGAACCCCTGCTGTAAAGAGCCATTGATCATTGGTTAATAACATCAAAAGGGCATTCCCAAAATGTTGCTCAGCTCCAACTTACTACACCCTCCGCTAGTTTGTAGATTATAGATTATATAAGGTGAACCCAACAGACATAGAAACATTGAATGGTGACAAGCCCATACTTCGAATATACTCCATTGACTACAACCCTCTGTTGCCTGTCCCTAAGCCACCGCCTTACACATTCTACAATATTGGAATCCAAACTTAAAGATTGCAGTTTATTGATAAGCCTTCTATGTGCAACAGTGTCAAAAGCCTTACTGAAATCTAGGTAAGCAATGTCTACTACACCACCTTGATCTATTATTTTATTTACCCAATCAAAAAAATCAATAAGATTAGTTTGGCGTGATCTCCCTGAAGTAAACCCATGTTGTCTCTGATCTTGAAAACCATGTGTTTTTAGATGTTCAACAATTCTATCCTTTAACATGGTTTCCATTACTTTCCCCACTACTGAAGTAAGGCTTACTGGCGTATAGTTGCCCGACTCCTCCCTACATTCGCTAACTTCCAATCTTCTTGGACTACTTCTGTTAACAATGCTTGGTTAAATAAATCTGTTAATGGTTTTGCTAGTACAGCACTAAGTTCTTTTAATAACTTTGGGTGTATTCCATCAGGTCCCATTGACTTATTTGTCTTTACTTTTGACAGTTGAAATAGAACCTCTTCATCTGTAAACTCACATGTAACAAATTACTAATTTGTCCTTTTTCCTAACTGAGGATCCTTTCCTTCATTTTCATCTGTAAATACAGAAGACGTGAATTCTGTAAGACGTGAAAGACTGAAGACTGAATTCTGTAAGACATGGAACTAAATTGCGTCAATTGTTTAGAACAGAGAGAGAGAAAGATAAAAATGTGAACACACAGACTAGCTAGGGCTTGTGCCCCACTCCCGTCCTTCCCTCGAGAAATATTCTGTAAAACGTGTATTACAAAACATGTCTAGGCAAGGTATTGCTCATCTCTGGCCATGTAAAAGTTAATTCTTACTGCATTTGATTTTGAAAGCAATTTGATTAACTTCCTAGTGAAAATCCACTGGGAACACTTTATAGGATTCATTTTATGGAGGCGAACACTGCTCATATTCCTGTGTGATCAATGTATAATAAATGTATGGATTTAAATGGCTTTTATAAATGCTTATAGAGCAAAATGTCACAACTTTTACCGGCTATTTTTATGGACTTGTTTGTAGCTCTTGTAAAATATATTTTCATGTTGTAAAAATTTTAATTTTACAGATATATGATAGACAGAGCTGCAAATTCCAGCTATAAACCTCCAGGAGCGCGTGTTGGCACTTTTCACGGAACACAAAACTTTATGACTTTTTCAGAATAGCATTAGAATAGATTGTTTTATTGTACCAGTATACAAACAGTCACATGTGTGCTTGCAGACGGTTACAAAAGAACGAAGGCAGATGATTGTAACACAGATTTGCAGGATGTATTCTATAAAAGCACAAATGCAACTGGGCATTGCACAAGTGTGTGGATAGTTGGTACAAATACACAGACACCTACTTGTCACCTATGTTCAAGGTCAGTTGGCATTTGGTGTGTGCAGTCGCCAATTATCAGGGCTGCTGCAAGGATTTTCATACCTCACTATTTGTCCATTTGAAATGTTGTAACACTTTCGAGTTAAAGTGGCACTGTCATGCCGAACTTACCTTTCCCCAATCGATTCCTCTTCTCGCTCTCTGGCAGGATCTGTTCTTCATTTCTTCCTGTCTGCTCTAGTTTTCTTTAAAACATAAGACAAAATAGGGACTACTTTGTCTTATGGAGGTTTCCTACGCCTGACCAGCTATTATCAGCGGAGGAGCAAAGTGTGCTTCATTTCTGGTGGTCAGAGCAATTTTCCCACAATTCTCACCTTTGATCTGTGATCTCACGATGCTTCCTGTCAGTATTCCCGAGCGTCCTGTCATTTAGACAGAACGCTGGCGAAACTACCGAATTTCATCCTAACAGAATGAGAACAGTTTGTTCATTAATGTTAGGAAGCAATTCGGGACTTTGTTCGGATCGGAATTTCATTCGAATGACTGAACCTTCGATCCTATTAGCGTTGCGGCTGCATCTTGCAGTCGCCTAGTAGATAACTCCCTAATTCCCACGGTATCAAGGAGCTATCTATCAAAAGGCTAAAAAATAAAGATTGGTCTTTCAGCCAAATTTACTAATACTAAGTAAAGATTAGTAGTAAATTCTTCCCCTACTCGCTATGCCCCGTGTGGCTGCTCACTGTTAAAACATTTTTTTAAATACCCCCACCTCCCCCTCAATAAATGGCCCCATGTTGGAGCAACTCTTAACTACCCTGGGGAGAGACACATAGTGTCCCTCCCCCGAGCCCCTTCTGTGCCCTGCGAGTGGGGGCTATTAAAGTAAATGGGGGACATAGGGTCCATGAGCGGTGGGTGGGGGCCCTAAATGAAAATGTAGGGGGGACCTATTGTCCTCTCCCACTGCCCCCACCCCTGAGCGGCGGATGTGGGCCCTAAATAACAATAAGGAGGGGACCTATTGTCCTCCCCCCGGACCCTACCCCTGAGCAGCATGTGGGGGACTTAATTGAAAATGTAGGGGGGGGGATCTATTGTCCCCCACGGCCCCCACCCCTGAAAGTCGGGTGGGGACCCTAAATTACAACAAGGGGGGAAGACCTATTGTCCTCCCCTCAGCCCCCAAGGGAAATTGACCCCGGACCGCTTTCAGAAACATTTCCTTGTCATTCCTACACTTGAAGCTTATGATAACATCTTGTGGTGTGGGAGATTTGTTATAAGGTCGGCCGGGTAGGCGATAATGTCCATCCAGTGATAGCCCTTTAGCTTGTTTAGGTGTTAAGGTCGCGGAGAACAACCTCCTGATAAACTGTGGTAATTCTGCAGGATCTATGTGTCAGGGATCCCTCTCACCTTCAGGTTACTTTGTCTTGTTGCATCTTCTAATTGCCCGATCTTGGCGCTTAGCTGTGCACATGTGGCATTCAATTTCGAGCGTTTGTGCTGTGGTAGAGTCTTGTTTGATTCGTAGATTATGAACGCTTTCCTCCGTGGCTCGTACGTGCCCGGCCAGCATATTCAGGTCTTCCTTAAGCACCGCCATCTCGGAGGCAAAGAAGGCCTTAAGCTCCGCCACCATGGAGGTCAGATCCGCCCTGGTGGACAGAGGTGGTTCTGTTTGCCGTGGCTTCGTCTGCCATGGCTCTTTCTGCCACGGAGTGAGAACCTTGTTCCTGCATTGGTGTGACAAGGCCTCCTCTAGTATCTGGTCCTCTTCTTCTGAGGGAGACATCGAGTCCGGCGGAGATGTTAGCTGCTGTTCCACCATTTTGGGCCTGCATGACTGGGAGAGTAGGTGTACAATATCGTGGGTATGCCCCTCGCTAAGCCCTCAAGATTTCTTAGAGTGCTTACCCATCGTAACCTAAGTGTGGGGGTAGCTCTTAATGGGTCAACTTGCAACCAAAACACTCGATTACAGGTAAAATCAGCGAGATGTATCTGAAACTCAGGCGCCATGCGTCTTGTCAGTTTGCTGGTTAGCTCTGCCCCCCAGAGCACACTAATTTTAATTAAAGAATCAGTGTCTTTGGAAATAATTCATAAAGAAATAGATAAAGAGGGGAAGTATATCATGTTAATTTGCACAATTAATAGGGATCTGTTCACTATAGTTAATCTATATGCACCAAATGATAAGGCAACAATACTTTTGGAAGCATTAATGACACTAGTAAATAAAATTTCACAAGGTAAATTAATAATGGTAGGGGATTTTAATTCAATTAGTGATGTGGATTTGGATAAACAAAAATCCAAAAAGGGAAAGATATAAACAGTGAACACAAAATGGGTGCGAAAAGATTTAAAGGCTTTCTAATGAAACACAACCTTCTTGATGTTTGGAGAATATTAAACCCAGAAAAGAAAGATTACACATTTTATACTATCCCCTTCCTCTCTTACTCTCGTATAGATCTTTTTTTGGTAAAACATTCTCTATTTAAAGAGGATTTAAGCTGTAAAATATCTACTGTCTCTTGGTCAGATTTAGCATAAACTCGAATAAAAAGATAGTAAAACAAGAATGGAGATTGAATGAGTCGTTAATGAAATCGAACCATGTCTAACAGAAAATTCTATAAGAAATAGAAATTTTCTTTAAAGAAAATAACAACCACGTTTCTAAAGGAATGCTATGGTGTGCCTTGAAGGCGGTAATAAAGGGGTCATTTAATAAAAATAGGAGCAATAGAAAAAAGGAAAAGGGGTTTATCTTATAGACAACTTCGTGTAAAATTAATTCAGTTAGAAAATGTAAATAAATCTAAGAGTATTCATGAAGAGAGTCTAGAAAACTAAAAATAATCAAACTTAAAGATATAGAAAGATGAAATTTAAACTTATTAAGATTAAAACAAACTTGGTATATCCAAGGTAATAGGGCAGATAAACATCTATCCAATAAATTGAAATCTCAAAACAAAAAAAATCGATCAATAAAATTGTGAAACAGGGAGAAATTGTGTTAGATCCAAATAAAACTGGAGAATTATTTTCAAAATTTTATGAAAACCTATATAGCCTGGGTAGAGGCTCCTTATGTAATTCAAATGAATATAGACTAAAAGGTTAAAGATTACCTGGAAAAGGTTGAACTACCTAAAATTAATGAAAAAATAAATCAATTTTAAAAACCCAATATCGTTACAAGAGATTAAAGAAGTTATTCAAAAGTTAAAAATAAATAAGGCTCCAGGACTGGATGGTTTTTCCAATTAATTTTATAAAAAAAATCAACTAGGAGATCATTTAATGGATGTCTTTATGGAGATTATAGAGAAGGGGTAATGCTAAGGGAGATGTTGTTACCAAACATTTCACCAATATTAAAGCCAGGGAAAGACAGGACATTAATAAAGAACTATAGACCTATTTCACTAATCAATGTGGATATTAAGATCTATTCAGCCATATGGGCGAATAGGTTTAAAAAAATGAATACCTAGGTTATTTAAACCTGATCAATCAGGATTTATTCCAAAAAGAACAGCAGAAGATAATACAAGAAAAAAACCTGAATGTAATGCAGTTTGTTGAGACTTGGGATGGTCCCATGCTAGCTCTGTCGTTGGATTCTGAAAAGGCCTTCGATAGGGTCGGCTGGGTCTACCTGGAGGAAACATTGAAAAAATTTGGGTTTATAGACTAGTTTATGAAAGCCATATGGACACTATATAAATCTCCAAGTGCACAAATTATAGGTTCTGGGATAAAATCTCCTTGGTTTTAAATTTTTAATGGTGCAAAACAGGGCTGTCCACTGTCCCCATTGCTTTATGCTCTATCTTTGGAACCATTGACTGAAATGGTGAGGGAAAATGGCGAGATAAGAAGACCAGTTATAGGTTTAAAGGAATTTAAGATCTCATTGTTTGCGGACGATAGTTTTTTAACCTTGGTTGGTCCAATTATATCACTAAAGGCCCTGATGATAGAAATTCAAAATTTCTCTTTGGTATCTTTTTATAAAATCAATTTAGGGTAATGTCAAGCAATGACCTCTAATATCAAACAAGAGGGAAAAGGAAACTTTAAAAAAAACTTTATAAATTTCAATGGGTGGATAACGCAATGGATTTTCTAGGAATTAAAATCTTCTTTAAAAAACAAAACAAAAAAACAATGATTGAGTTTAATTATAAAAAATTGATAAACAATTTCATAAATAAATTAGCCCAATGGAAAAAGACTACATTTTCATGGATGGGAAAAATAAACATTATTAAATATTATATATTGTCCAAACTAATGCTTATTTTCAGATCAATTCCATTTATTGTGGAGAGGAAGATCTTGATGGATTTTTAAAAAAATATTTAATAAGTTTATGTGGAATTCTTAAAAAGCAAGAGTGGCATTTGGAGTTATATCTAGAGGAGAAAGAGAGGGTTAGGATCCCCAAATGTGGTTAAAATTCACGATGCAATTATGTTGGCACATATGGTGAAATGGTGTAAATGGTAAGAACATCAACAGTGGCAATACACAGAAAAACATGAATATGCAGGCAAAGATTTAAGACTTATATTTTGGTCGTCAGAATCATATAAATCTATTAGCAATCCCATAATTAAAGACATAAGCCTCGCTTGGAAAAATCTTGGGTATAAATATCTGTTACCGTATAATCTTAATTACTGTATACCGGTTGAGGTGATTGAAATGTCAACAGGGAACATTAATTTAAAAAATTGGATAGCTGGGGGAATGCGATTTACGTACCAGATAATAATAGACAATAAGATTATACCGTTTGAAGATATACAGGCCCTGTTTAATCTTCTAACCAAGGAACTATTCAACTATCTGAAGGTTAAAAAATTATCTGGAAAAAGACGTTCTAAATAAAAATCTTATAAAAGACAAAAGAATTGAGGATTTGTTATTAGGAAGAAGAGCAAACATCTAAGTAAGTTAGCCCTTAATGTCATAGATAAACAATGTGAGTTTAGTATGCTGTCCCCTATAAAAAAGAAATGGGCTGAAGAAACTAAGGATACTGTAGAGGAAAATCAATCAATGGAAGCGATTAAATCAACTAAATCAGTTACCCATAATATAGGGTTATTGGAGGTATACTACAAAGTCCTATTTCGATGGTACTTAACTACAGGTTGATTGAAAAAGTTTAATGGAGGAAGTGGAAAATGTTGGAGGTGCAGGGAATCACAAGGCACTTTTGCCAACATATTGTTTAAATGCAAAAAAATTGAAACATTCTATGCTAAATTATTTCTTTTAATATCTATTATAGGGGACACTAAATTACAACCAAATATGGTTTATTCCATATCGGCCTGTCTAAGATGGTAGTGGGAATTAGAGATGTATTAGCCAGCAAACTCCAATTAATAAGAAAATAGAGGACAGAGGAAGACTTAGAACTAAAAGATATATTCTTACAGATGGAACATCGAGCATTAATGGAAAAAGGCTATTATCTGAATAACAAAATGGAATTGGATGGATATTGGATGGATCTGGTATAAAAAAACCTGAATTCTTTCAAATATTAGTTATCATTAATATGGATTATAGTGAAAAATATCTTATTATAATTAGATGGCAATGACATAAAGTTTTCCCCTTTCTCCTCTGTCCGCAGCAGAAGGAATGAATGTGTATGTATGTATGATGATTTGGGCTATGAATGATTAAGTCATCAGATCTTCCAATCATTCAATTATAGATAAACCTTGATAAGTGAAAAATCAGGTGCAAAAGCTACTACTGTCAAAGCTGCAATTTTCGAATCTTAGAAATGCATTTAGAATTACGTCTAAAAACTTGAAAGAAGGAAAAAAAAATAAAGAAGTGAAAGGGGGGAATAATGAAAGGAGATAAATAGTTATGAAGGGGGGGGGAGGGTTAAGGGTGGGTATAAGAGGGAGGAAAGATTAAAGAAGAAGCATGATTGATAAAAATAAATAAACGAGAAATAAAGTATGATGAAAAAGGTATATACTAATTATACTATTTATACCATTCTGATCTATTTCTCTCAAAAAAAAAAAAAAAAAAGATTCAGTGCTTTGGTATTTAAAAGCTTTATTTTTATAGAACAAAAACAGGTAGGAGTAGGGACAGGGACAGGCACAGGGACAGGTTTGTATTCCTAACGCTTTAGTGTTCCTATTTAAGTGCTGCACTATTTAAAATTTCAACAGTGCAGTCATTAATGAGCACTCAACTAGTTAACCATTGATTGGTCCGACTTCTAAGCAGCATTATAGTTTTAACATAAGTGAACACAAAGTGCTTGTCCAGTGAGCTGTACGTAGGATATATTATATATATATATACTGCCAACTGCATAATGTGTGTTTTGGGATATTTGTTGAGTAAACCATAGAGCAACCTGTTTCTAAAGGTTAAATGATAGAATGCACTGTTAAATAAATTGCGTAGATTAGTAAATGTAGATTGAGAATAGTATAATGTGTACTTCCCAAACCACTAACTCATACTGTTCCTTTGGGATTTCAAACAAACATTTATGCATGGTCCTTAAGAAGCAATTTGAGATTGTTTTATTATCAGAGTGAAAAGTGTAAGGACATGCTATCTCTATTCCATCAGTTTCAATACAATATATAACCCAGTTATTTTATTACTATATTTGTTTAATCAGTCTCACTGATCAATCTATATTTTGAAAATTATGTTCCATAATTCTCAGTATGGTATGTTCCATCAATCTCAGGGCAGTGTGTTCCACACTCTGTGTTCCATCAGACATTTTGGGGGCCCTTACATAATCTCAGTCATACTCTATCGGTCTCATGCTACACAAGCTCTCACACATACTCACAGAGACACACATAACCCCATACAAGCATACACCACTGCACATTCCCAGGAACATACAGACATAGATATGCACTCCTCATTCCAGGTACACACACTCGCTGTCAGACACACACTGACTACCCAACACATGGCCATTGTCCGATACAAACCCTAATTTACAAACATATACACTGCCAGACATATACACACACACTTAGAAATATTTACATCCATATGTTTTTATTGCGATGGCTCCCAGTGGTCCAGGCAGCAGTGCATGGCTTGTGCACGTACCTGGCTCCTCTTGCTCTCAGCAGTTTCCCATATCCCGGGAGGAAGTGCACTGGTGTCAGCTATGTCTCACAGTAAAGGTGTAATGGCAGTACTTCCAAGTTAGGGGCCTACTCTACAGGATATCTTCACTGCAGTCCGGTTGGGGAGATATCTCCCTAACTAGACACTTGTGGGCTCCACTGGCTTGAGCAGCCCCCTTAACGGAGTAATACCTGTACCCTGATGCAGTAGAGGGCGGGCAGCCTTAGGCCTGGGGGGCAAAACCAGTCAAGTGCACCACCAAATCAGTTCACCATCGATGCCCACCTTTTCCTGGTTTTAGAACGGATATTGATGTTATGCTAATCAGTAGCTCTTTGCCATACCCGCTCCTTCACGGCTCTGACTTTCAATGTTGTCAGAGCGCAGGCTGAGAATTTCTGAGCCTGTGCTTCGACTCACTAACTGAGCGCCAGAACCATGAGAGAGAGGCTATAATCTGACTGCACCTACTGCTGCTGCGCACCATTGGACCATCAGCGAATCATTTAAATTGAATATGCTGGGGTCCCCAACTTGTGAGCTGTGTTGGACGCCGGGCGCCTCTGTTGTCATGGCACCCTGCGTGACCGCACAGCTTGCACACCCCAACGGCTGGCCCTGCTGACACACACTGATGTTACTACTAGAAATCCCTCAATATTAATACAGACATCAGAGTAAACACCAATAAACTGTGGAAACAGAGCTGATCCCCCCCAAATTTATAAAGATTTGCTTACTGGATTTGTTGTAAGATTAAATCTTGCCTCCCCCTCTCTCTCTCCCATGCGCTGCTCTGTAGGCTGGGAGGAAGTGAAGAGTAATCACAATCTCCCAGCACAGCGGCATCTGTGGCTGCATGGGGAACAGCTGTATTTGCCGCCCCCATGTGACATCACAATGCCCCACCCATATGATCTGCCATATGAACTAACGCCAGTGCTACACACAGTGTGTGTTTACATTACAAAGCTTGCAGGAAACCGGCTATTGACACCAGAACCACTTCATTAAGCTGAAGTGGTTATGGGGACTATAGTGTCCCTTTAATGCGAGATAAATTATAGATTAGTGTCACTAATATCATACTAGATTGCCTACTTACAACAAGATGAGGATGTGATGGGCTGCAGTTTGGCTCCACTGGTCTGGTGTAGAACAGAATCTCTGGAGGCGGTTTGCAACTGTGGTCACAAAATTCAATGTTCTGGGAGAATTGGAAGCAGTTCCATTTTTGGAGGGGGGGGCGCCCTTACACAGCTCAAGGTCTGGGCTCCAGGGCCTGACGGTGAGTATGCCCACAAGGCCCACTCATAAGTCCACTTATATGTTCCACCCATGAGTTTGCTCACAGGGAGTGGAGTGTGTAGGGGATGTGTTATGTGTTATTGTAGAGGATCTAATATGTGTGCTTATGGTATGTAGTGTATAGGGATACCAGTTTGTGTAGGTGATGCAGTGTGTTTGTGTCTAGTGGAAGCAGTGTGTATTTGTGTATAAGGAATGTATTGTGTGTTTCTGGTTGTGTGTAAGGGATGCATTGCGTGAATCTGTGTGTATGTAAGAAAAGCAGTGTGTGTGTTTGCATGTGTGTAAGGGTTTGCATTGTGTATTTCTGTGTATGTGTGCAAAGGATGCATTGTCTTTGTGTGTAAGGGTTGCATTGTGTGTGTGTAATGGATCCATTGTGTGTTTCTCTGTGTAAGGGAAGCATGTTGTGTTTCTGTGTCTGTAGGGATGCATTGTGTGTTTCTGTGTATGTGTAGGGATGCATTGTGTGTTTCTGTGTATGTATAGGGATGCATTGTGTGTGTGCGCGTAGTGTGAAAGAGCTCCCTGTCTTGCCCCCTGTCCTATAGAGCTGTCC